ATTCAAAGATAAATTAAACATGAAAGCTACACCGTTTTCAAATTCATTTTATATTTAGTAATGATTATCACGTATTTGGGCAGCATCATTGATGAACACGGTGGATCTGATGCAGATGTGAAAGCGCGGATCGGTAAAAGCAAGAGCAATATATTTACAATTGAAGAAAATCTGGAATTCAAAGCAACTGTCAACCAACACCAAGGTCAAAATTTTCAGTGCAAATGTCAAGACAGTTCTACTATATGGGGCAGAAACCTAGAGAACTACGGAAGCCATCATCCAGAAAATATAGGTGTTTACTAACAATTGTCTACGAAAAATACTTCGGATCCGTTTGCCGGACACCATCAGCAACAACTTACTTTAGGAGAGAATAAACCAGATTCGGGATGAGGAAGAGATGAGAAAGAAGCGCTGGATGTGGATAGGATACACATTGAGGAAAGCACCCAACTGCGTCACAAGCCCTCACATGGAATCCTCAAGGCCAAAGGAAAAGAGGAAGACTAAAGAACACATTACGCCGGGAAATGGAGATGGACATGAGAAGAAAGGACAGGAATTGGATAGAACTAGAAAAGAAGGTCCAGGACAGAGTGTGTTGGAGAATGCTGGTGCGCGGCCTATGCTCCTTCACGAGGAGTAACAGGCGTAAGTAAGTAAAGTAAATGATTATCAGTGAAGTCCAGTGTTCAAAGATATTGAAAAATATTAGGTCTTATAAGTAATAACAGAAATACAGATATGTATTATTTATTTAGAAAGATATAATACAGCACGTCCTAGTAATCTAATGCATATTTCTCCAATGTCAGAAGCAATGAATACATGGTTGGAGGTAGTCAAAAGTAAATCTCCAACCATCATCTTATCTCAATATAGTGTAGGCAATGCCGAATCACTTGGACTGGTGGCCACATTCCAACTTGGTTGATAGGATTAGGTCTGCACTAAGAAGGATCTGACGTACATGATATTAATCACTACCCAGTAATCAATCTATTGTAAAGAATAGAATTAGTATTTTCAATAATAGATATGTAGTTGTGAACATTTTACATTTTGAATTGAAGTATTGCGACATCGTTTTCTGAATTTAATATAAGTAGACACCGACTTATGCTTATTATCAATCTATACAATCTGAAATTATACATACTTACTTACGCCTGTTACTCCTCGTGAAGGAGCATAGGCCGCTCACCAGCATTCTCCATCCAACCCTGTCCTGGGCAGTCCTTTCCAGCTCCTTCCATTTGTTATTCATCTTTTTCATGTCTGCTTCTATTATCCGACGTAATGTGTTCCTTCGCCATCAAGAGTGATTGGATTGCTGTTCTCCGCTTTGAATTTGAGGACCTTGGTTTTCCCTTTGTGTTTGCTGAGGCTTACTGATGCAGAGACTGCTGCTACACTAGCTGTCTTTGTCTGCATTTGTTCGTGTGTATGCGATAGGAGGGCTAGGTCATCTGCGAAGTCCAAATCGTCTAATTGGTTCTGAGCTGTCCATTGTATTCCATGTTTTTCTTCAGATGTCGAGGTCTTCATAATCCAGTCGACCACCAGAAGAAAGAGGAAGGGAGAGAGTAAACAGGACAGAGTGTGTTGGAGAATGCTGGTGCGCGACCTATGCTCCTTCACGAGGAGTAACAGGCGTAAGTAAATTAGATTATAAAGCAGTTCTATTTTGATATAAAGTTTTAATTTTAAGTGTTCAGAGATAGTTGGTAGGATATACTAGACTGGAATTCGATGAAGTTTTATTCTCTGAGCCGGATGGTTTCCTCATGGAGATTTCATAATTCTTCTGAATGACATCATCAGCACAAACTTGAGGTAGAGGTCTTGAATTCCATGTCAGTTAAGACTTGTCACCATGACGTATCTGTAATGTTGATATAAGTGAGCCATCCTCTTTTAAGATTTGAACTGTTATAACTTGTCGCCTGTGTTCCCTGTTAATGTATAATATGATGATACCGCCAATTAAAGAAAAGTGAATTATCGATCGGACCAATAATGCATAAAACACGTACGAACAGTATTCAGTCCTTATCAGTCCTGCTTACCGCCTAACCATGCCTGTTAAGTCCGGAACATCATTCGCAGTCTCTGCAATATGAATCATGTATTTCAAACATACTTGGTTTATATACCAAACAAACAAACCACATCTTACCATAAAGTAGGAAACAACATTTGTATAAGATTTGGTCAAATGTGGCTGTGAATGTGGAAGGTAGTGATTAATAGACAGGGCATAATTGAAGAATGGTAAATCGTGTAATAACAGTTCATAGGTCAAAATGAAGCTCATAACGAGAGGGACACGAATATGAATAGTTTAGTCATTTAACAATTATACGATAAAAATATACGTATAGTATTGGGCCATAAATAGGTCCCGAAAATTACCATTCATTCTTCTCATCGAGATCTAACATGAACCCAAGGTATCTAGTTCTATAGTTTGAAATATAACCTACAAGTTATGTCATATAAGACACAAATAGTCAGATTCTTCTTTTGAAATAAATGATCAACTATATGATTTAATGTGTATCTCATTGTGAAAGAAAACTATACCTTATTCAATATGGAAATAAGATTAATTTGAGTTACTTATTATCATATACATCAATGCGCTTATATCATTGTGAATAAGAGTTGATTTAATATCGACTGAAGTAACATCCAAATTGATTAGGAATAAAATGATCAAATTATTAGACTGGAAACTTATAGTTTGTTGATTAAGCTTAGTTTGTTTCTTTTTTCCCTAATTACTATGCTTATTGAGATGAATATGTATTGTGACTGTAATTATCCGATATATATATATAATCCTTTTGCAAAAGATCTAAATTACTAATATAAGGAATGATTAAACTAAGTGATGTAATAATGACATGGCTCAGAGTCGTTTACAATGACACAGATACATTCACTCTTTTGTGTTCTCTCAAATTTTCCACTTTCTAAATTTATTTCACTGAATTATACTCCTTGAATAACATCTTCAAACCCTAATCTTTGCGATTACTGCTTATACTTTTACAACCTCTACCACTATGGGATTCGAATCCACAACTACATCTCTGTGCTAATGTGGTATGGCAACTTGAACTGATATTTACGTACATACGAAGTTCTACGTTGTTACTGACTGACTGACTTAATTAAACAAGACAAAAATTCATGGATTCCTTCTAAGCTATCACTTATGAAGTTAGTAGAATTAAGTAAGCTATAAATGTCGATTTATCGATGTCTTTGTTTATTTATGATTTGAGTACCATGTGAGTTATATTAAAAGAAACTAATTAAAAAAGGAAAGAAAAGTCGGTTTATGAGAGTAAAACACTTCATCAGCTGAAGTTGTTAGGTAGCGTTTTGTCAGTAACTACCTAATGCCTAACCTAAAGCATAAAGTTATCTGACATAATAAGAGGTTGATAACAGCACGGAGTAGGAACATGGAGATATAATATGATATGAATAACGACTGCTGGTCTAAGCCATGTTGATAGGTGCAGATTTATTGTCAGAATTCACACAACAGTCTTAATAAATACTTGAAAACGATACATTTGATGTAGGATAGAATGGTTCACAGTAAGGAAGTTACATTTATACACTATCAGCTTTTGAAGTTTGGATAAAATATGATTTTTAACATTTTGCATGTGTGGATAAAAGAATATTATGGAACCTTTTTCGATGCTATAGTGTACCGAAAAAGATCGTCGAAGTCATACGGAATTCATATGACGGACTGCACTGCGAAGTTGCGCATAAGCGACAGCTGACAAACGCGTTCCGAGTGAGGATCCGAATCAGAGAAGACTGCCTACTCTCACCCTCTTTTATTTCTTGTGGTGGCCGAATGGATTATGAAGACTTCCACATTCTAGGAGAAACGCGGAATACAATAGACAGCATGCACTCAACTAGACGATTTGGGCTTCACAGATGACTATGCTCGTCCATACATGTGAAACTCGAAACAATTGTCTGCAAGCCAACATCAGTGTCAGAATCTTCAATACGAACGTCAAAACAGTTCTTCTACTGTTTGGAGCTAAAACTTTGAGAACTACTGCAAACATCATCAAAAATATATAAGTATTTATAAACAATTATCTACGTAAGATACTCAATGTCCGTTGACCAGACACCACCATCAACAGCCTACTATGAGAGAGAACAAACTAACTTCCAGCTGAGGAGGAAGTGGGAGTGAATGTGATATACATTACGGAAATTATCAAACTGAATCATGAGGCAAGCTCTAATTTGGAATCCTGAAGGTAAACGGGAAAGAGAAAGATCAAAGAACAGGAAACATACAAGAAAAATGATGAATAGCAACTGGAAATAACGTGAAAGGATTGTCTAGGACAGAATCGGATATAGAATGATGGTGGCTGGTCTATGCTCCTCCATGAAGATTAACAGGCGTAAGTAAGTAAGTAAGTGAGTAAACGTTTTATGTTTCAATTCCCTTTACTGTTTATGAACTGCATTTATCATGCATAGATTTTTATAACATATAAAATTAACTCTACCACTTTACTTATCATTTTGTTGACTTTCTCAATGCATTTTTGTGTAAATAAAACGATGTTTATGCGATAATAATATGCTCTTAAAAGTTTAATATTAATTTCAATAGTTGAAATCATGAGTCCATTGAAGCTCGAACACCATGGAAAACCTAGAAGCACTGGATGGACGCTTCATCCTATTGTGGGACTCCTCAGTAGTACGTATCCACGATCCTGCCTCGCAAGATCCCAACCGAAGAACTATCAGACTTTTGAGCCAAGCACTTAACCACTAGACCACTGAGCCGGCCGGCATCCAACGGTGTGAATACCTTCAATTGGCTCATGATCTCAACTATGGAAATTACTATAATATTCACAAAAACCCCTAAAACAATCACCAAATTATGTGTAATACTAAATTTCATTTGAATAAAATTCATTTCTTACCTCCAATAAGCATAGTTATCACAGCAAATATTTTCTCATTTACTGTATTCGGTGATACATTACCAAATCCAACACTAGTTAAACTAGTTGTTGTAAAATATAAACTAGATACATATAATGCACGTCTAGTTAATCCATTCGTTTTATTCATTGCTGAATATGAACGATTCAATTGCATTCGTTCACCTAATTCATATAACCAACCTATTGAATATAAAACAAACCAAAAGAAAAAAAAACACTTGTAGAAACATAATTGTAAAATAGATCATTTATGAAGATAGAAATAAAGTTGTGATGTAGATCTAATCAAACATTCTATGCCTGATTCTTGTTATTATATACTACTGATTTAAATTCAATAGTTGAAATCATGAATCAATTAAAGCTAGATTATCATGGTAAACCTCGAAGCACTGGCTGGCCGTATCGTCCTATTGTGAGACTCCTCAACATTACTCATCCATGATAGTCTAAATTCAATTGACTCATGATCTTAACTATTGAAATTACTACAATCTCCATAAAACCCCCCTTCTGATACTATTTATATCAATATAAGTAGCACACATATCACAGGATATACTTCATTATTTGAATATTTAATTACTACAAACTATGCATAGTTGCTACACAAGCTCCAGTATATCAACATATATGACATTACTGTTCTCTATTAGCGTTTAACTCTTGTTATTTATTGAAAACAAGAATTCTCAAAAGATATAATGATAATAGTAACTAAATGATAAACATGATAAAATGAATTTATAACGGTTGAATGAATGAATATGAGAACGATATATCGATTCTAGACATGTTTTCATATTTTCATTACCCAATATAAAGAAACAAAGAGAAGTTTATGTTTTGTTCACTTGTTTATTTCAAATCCATTATATTATTGTTAGACATAAATTAATTTCTATTCATAATAGTATATCAATAGTTGGAATCATGAATCAATTGAAGCTAGATAACTATGGAAAACCTGGACGGCCATTTTGTCCCATTGTGGGACTCCTCAACAGTGCGCATCCACCTCTTCTGATCTGTTAGAGACCGTGTTCTGGATTTAACTGGCTGGGCTAGGCGGAAAGCAGGGCCAATCAGAACTCTAGGCTTCTCATAAGGGTTCGCGCGTCGTTGGTACGATCGATAAGTCATTGCTCTCTAATCGGAGGTCATAAGTTATAACATGATTAGTTATATGTATTTCATACAGGAGACTAGAAGCAATAACAAACCTAATAAAGTTCTATATTCATTGCTATGATAGTTGCTCATTCGTTTGTGAACAGAACACCGGTGGGGACAATCGAACATATTTGATACAAAACTATAGAGTATTTCAATGAAATCTGAGAACGATATAGTAGATCGTTAATTTGCAAAATATTAGTCCATCGTTTCAAATTTGACTATCCCTTTGCAAATATCAGTTCATTGTCTCATATTCCATTGTTCATGCATTTTCATACCAATTGCGTTCCGTTTCCATTCTTTCCTTATCGATCTTCTGTTAAAATACATTCTATGCCTGACTACCGTTATACACTACTTATATGGATATAAGTAACCCATACCACAATACAATCGATGAGACTATAATTTATGGACAATTTTTAGGCGAAGCTAGAGTGACCTTGATAGTGTCCAGCTAAAAACCAGGACAAAATGAGGGTTATAAACCTGTTTGAGGAATTAAACTTATGATTTACAGTTGATGGTTAGGGCTAGGAATTAAGTTTAGAGTTTTCATCACGAATTGACATCAGCTATAATAGCAAAACTCTATTTAACTAAGTGGGTGAATGTGTGGTGTGTGCTACTTATATTGACTTAAGTAGTATATGATGTTAGTCGTGAACAGAAGGTCTGGCAGTAGAAAGACAAGTGGATTGAACAGTAAAGAATGGAAACATGATGCAATTTGTATGAAAATGCAAGAACAATCAAGTCTGAATCATTATTTTGAGACAATTAGTGGACATTTTGCAAATTACGTATTTACTTTATGATTGTTAGATCTTATTAACAAGTCCTGTAATTTCGTGTTAGATACATTCGATTGTTCCCTACCCGTGTTCTTCTTTACTACAAATGGATTTCGTGACATAACCCAAGATCTATTATTCCAAATATGATTGATCCAACCATAAATTATAGTCTCGACGATGGATTTAATCAATAAACCATAGAAAATTTGCATAGATACATTCAAACTAAAATCATTTATCAATAAGAATACAAACAAAATAAGTTATTGTTTAGTTTAAGTCGTTTTGGTTTGTTTTTTTTTTGGTTTGACAAATGTTTGCCTATCATCTCATTATTCTCTTTAAAGTTCATTTGCCTTCATGGTAATTTAATTGTGAATAGATTGTATGGTATCTATCTAGTTAAGGCGCAAGATATAAAATGTAGTTAGAAGTTATACAGACTCCTGTTTCTTTTCTTTTCTTTTCTTTTCTTTTTTTTCATCGATCAATAAACGTTTTATGGCAGATAACTTCAAAAAAGAAAAGAGTTTTTCTAATCGCTCTTCCATAATGAATATCATTTGTAGGTATAGTTGAACAATTCACATGTTACTGTTTTACTTAAATCTTCCCATTGATGTTTTAGGACAGAAATTGATCAGTCTCTTATTAGCATATGTGCATACTGTGCGTATTTCTCGATATTGACTTTAATTTACAAGCGTTATAAGCAAAGATGGATAGTGGCTAGCAGTGGAATCCAAGACGCGCGTTTCGTCCTGGCCACTGTCCATCTTTGTTTAAAATAATTGAAAAATGTCTATCACCTTAAACATTGAAATTCAAATAAAATTAACTTCATAACATGTTATATAATCGGTAAATTTATTTTATATATTGTTGCTTCGAATCTTCCTATAGTTGTTTATAACACATATGTGTATCCTGTGCTAATTACCTTGATTAATTAATTGAAGTACGAATGATATATAAGATTAGCTTTCCTACAATTATCTATGACATGTTATCATAGTTTAAGAATGGGTTACTGTGCAACTTTGTCATTTCGTTATATTTTTTAATTATAGATGATTATTTATATTAAATAAGAAAGATTAGTTCAGTGAAGAGTTCCCTTTTCAGAGAATTCATTTCCAAAACTGTGCAGTGGCACACATATATATATACTTATATTAATAGGATGATAATAATACTGATAATAAACTTCTGTTAGAAATGATGACAGTGAGGATAAATAAACAAAGGTAGTAAAAATGTTTTTTTTAAAAAAAAAGAAAAGTTTAATAATCGTTTGATTGTTAATGGCTTAAGTATTCATCAAGAGATAGATAGATAGATAGATAGATAGGGAAATTATCATTGGGAATGGATGGCTCATCATGATAAGATAAAATGTTGAAATTAAGAATAAATGTAATCAGGAGGATCGTAGAAACAAAATGAACCAGTTGGGGGTAGAAAATTTAAGGGGAAGATGGAGGGTGTAAATGAAGAAGAGTATGAAGAGGAAAATTAAAAATAAAAGATAAAAATTATAAGACATCAGGACAATGGTGGAAGAAATTGTACCAGTCGCTTTTGCACACACAATTCTGGTCTTTCCAGATGTATGGTTAATGCCTTGGCAATGCAAAGAAGATGCAGTCTAATTGTTTTAGGGAGACTTCTACTTACCTTGTAGATAACTTTGAACGCAGAGTCCGTCTTGAGTAAGTAACCCGTGTTCACAAGGTGTTCGATTACTGAGCTTCTTACTGAACCATTTCCTCCTCTTTTTAGCTATGTCGGACAATATTCTTGAATTCTTTTGGATAAAGTACGAATCGAACGACCTATATATTTAGTTCCACATGAGCAGGTAAATGGATAAATGTACATTGAGTTGGTCATATGCGATAATTAATCTTTCAGATTATTGGTGAACAATGATCGGCTGGAGAAAAATATTCGTAATGTTGCTGCGAAGAATGTTCTTTTTAAGGAATCGGAAGTTCTCCTTTTTGGGGTGTGTGTGTGGCTCTGTCACCCTTGAATTCGATGTTCATGTATAAAGTTTTCTTTTCTACTGTAACTGTTTGTGTTTTTGGCGTTTTCGGCTTTATGTTCTTATCAATGAATATCGAAGGATATCCGTTTTTGATGAGTATCTCCTTCAAGTGGCCCAATACTTCATCTATGACTTCGTGGCTACAGATTCGTCGTATTGTTGTAGCGAGTTTCATTATCAAGTTTATTTTTCGGCTGATGAGAACCCGGCTCTCTGTCTCAACATTTTACCTTATCATGGTGAGCCATCCATTCCCAATGATAATTTCTCTATCTATCTATCTATCTATCTATCTATCTATCTATCTATCTATCTATCTATCTATCTATCTATCTATCTATCTATCTATCTATCTATCTATCTATCTATCTATCTATCTATCTATCTATCTATCTATCTATCTATCTATCTATCTATCTATCTATCTATCAATCAATCTATCTATCTATCTATCTATCTATCTATCTATCTATCTATCTATCTATCTATCTATCTATCTATCTATCTATCTATCTATCTATCTATCTATCTATCTATCTATCTATCTATCTATCTATCTATCTATCTATCTATCTATCTATCTATCTATCTATCTATCTATCTATCTATCTATCTATCTATCTATCTATCTATCTATCTATCTATCTATCTATCTATCTATCTATCTATCTATCTATCTATCTATCTATCTATCTATCTATCTATCTATCTATCTATCTATCTATCTATCTATCTATCTATCTATCTATCTATCTATCTATCTATCTATCTATCTATCTATCTATCTATCTATCTATCTATCTATCTATCTATCTATCTATCTATCTATCTATCTATCTATCTATCTATCTATCTATCTATCTATCTATCTATCTATCTATCTATCTATCTATCTATCTATCTATCTATCTATCTATCTATCTATCTATCTATCTATCTATCTATCTATCTATCTATCTATCTATCTATCTATCTATCTATCTATCTATCTATCTATCTATCTATCTATCTATCTATCTATCTATCTATCTATCTATCTATCTATCTATCAATCAATCTATCTATCTATCTATCTATCTATCTCTTGATGAATACTTAAGCCATTAACAATCAAACGATTATTAAACTTTCCTTCTTTTATAAAAAAACCTTTTAATACCTTTGTTTATATAACCTCACTGTCACCATGCCTAACAGAAGTTTATTATCAGTATTATTATCATCCTGTTAATATAAGTATATATAGGTGTGCCACTACACAGCTTTGGAAATGAATTCTCTGAAAAGGGAACTCTTCACTGAACTAATCGTTCTTATTTAATGTCTTAATGGGTGTATTCCGTTGATTAATTATATTACATGATAAATATGTATTCACACAATATGTTATTGATGAATCAATTTTAAGTACTATTCAGTTCAGAGATAGATGGTAGTTAGCAGTGGAATCCAGGACGTGAGTTTCATTCTGAATCCTGAAGTCGATGTTCACTCTGAAACTCAAACCTAGTACTATTCGCTTCGAATGCCATGGTGTTATCTACTGAGCTTTTGAGTCAAGAAAATATCGAGGAAATCCGCACAGGATGCACAAATGCCAATAAGTAACTGATCATTTGTATTGTTACACATCAACGGGAAGATTCAAATAAATTATACAAAAGTAGGGTATTCGTACATCACTTTGATTTGGGTGGGGAGTCAAGTAAATCCATATCTCCAATCTCTGAGTTCTCACTACTCTACTATGTTATTACAGAGTGACCTAATTAATTTCATTAGGCTTTTATTACAAACTAAATAAGAATATGATCATGTTAACGGGACTAAATGTTACAGTAAAATTTAACAGATATCCATCCAACGTTATATGATAGGTGATCGACAGAGTTTGATTAAGAATCAATTCTAGACAAAAATCAAACTCGTTACTACTTAATTATCAACCAACATGAATATACCAGTCTTGAAGAAGTTCAGTCGCGACCTAGATAGTCAAGTGATAATATGTATGACTATGTTTTTTGTTGACAAGTGACAACAGACCACAAACTATCATCCAGAGATACCGGCCATTTGCCTCTAATGACATAAACTTTTTATTTAAGATAAACTATTGAATCAACTAACCAGAACTTATTGTCACAACACATTTAACAATCAATAAATATCTGGATATTTTTTGGACAGTATAGGGGTGGAATGTAATCGTAATATACTCGGTTAATAAATGTTTTTATACAGAGAGACACCATAGAATGGGAATAATTAGCAAGATATGCTAAGTTTGTAGGTTATATTGGACAAAGACTGATCTCAATGTGAAAATCATCGGGAAATATGGATAACAGTAAAGATGTCTCGTTCTAATATGAAGCACCTCAGAAGCTCACATCTACAACCACATCAGTAATTGAATCCCTGATCTTCAGTAGACCCAATGGTTAATGTCAGTATACAATGTACAGCGACAAACTATTGAACTCCGATCCAACATTTTAATCGTCAAACGTTCATTACAGGATGTGAGGTTCCTGGATTCTACCCTTGATGGAGTTGTATGACCACACTGATGAGAAATCCGATAGTGATATGTGGATGAGAATGATAAAGATTGATTGCTTGATGAGTCAGACTAGTATATAGTCTGACAGGTACTAGATGAGTTATACATCTTCCCTTACTCTTATCATTATTGTGTTGGATTGTGTCGAACTGTGTCAGTTTTTGGTGTGGAAATATACTTACGCTGTAGTAAGGCTAATCATGTGTTCTTGATATGAGTTGTGTTGAAGTCCTGTAGAATAGACACTGGAAGGGAATCTAATGTAGATATTCCTCTTAAGCAAATTAACATCTCATTCGTGTAAAGACGAGGAAACTCCGAGCGTTAATCATAGATACACCATCAACTTGTCGAAAATATTCACCATCAAACGTGAACTGAACACTGGCAGTGCATAATAAAAGTAATTCTTTAAACAATGATGACCGAATAGGAAAAAGGGGAAAATTGGTAGATATATAGTCACAAAGGAAATCCACGGTCTTTGGTAATGGTACATTTTGAGATTTCCCGGTTACTAGATAAACTCAATGGGGTTCGAAACGATATCATAATGACCTATGAAGCACAAAATAATGGCCAATTGACCTTTATAGACATACTTTTAAGTTAAAGGGAGGATAGCACTATAAGACGATCAATGTAAAGGAAACCAACTTGGACGGATCAATACTTAAATTTCTATAGTTTTTTTCCATTGCAATACAAGCAAAGCTTAATCAAGTGTCTCTTTAAGAGGACTCAAAGAATTTGCACTACTGACACGGTTGAAAAACATGAAAAACATTACTAACTGTGTTAGGTTTAAAGCTTACACGAGTTCACATGATCTGCGAACGAGAACAAGACTCAGTGACCAAGACCATTAAGCTAGCTATTTGATGCATCACAGCCCCGCTAACTAGAGGGAGAAGTCCAAGCATGGAATAGGGAAGTATATTCTGCAAACAGTCAGAAACGAGAGATAACAACAAACACAATTCAAAACGTATATATACAGTACAAAACCGTCCTTGGGGAGAGCTACACAATAGCATACTAAAAGAAGCAACGGACCAATAGCATTTAAGATATTTCCCAGTGGGAAATACGGCATGAAGGTGATAAGAGCATTTTTGGCGCGAAAACAAAGAAATCCAAATTTTCTAAATAAAATTACAAAATTAGGTCCTTTTTCAAGTGAGTTCTAGGGATCTAACATCCCCAACAGACTGATACATTAATATTAATAGATGCAAAAGTCACTTAATCCCAACACCTTTTGTTGATTCAGTTCCAAAGAAAAAAAACATTGAATAGTTACTTATTCATACTAAAATATTTTCTATCATTTCATTTTCATTAATATAACTTTTGTGATAACTTTTTATGCCTAATATATAGCTAATCCACAAGATCATGATTCAGTTAAAGCTAGATCACCATGGAAAACCTGGAAACACTGAACGGCCATTTCGTCCTATTATGGGATTCCTCAGTAGTACGCATCTATGATCCCGTCTCGTAAGATTCTAACCCAGTACCTACTAGACTCGCGTGTGAGCGTTTAATCACTAGACCATTGTGCCGGATGGCATCCAACAGTGTTAATGTTTAACTTTAACTAATCTATGAAATTGTGTGACACATCCAACATTATCATCAGTGAATGCCTATCTCACAAGTTTAGATCGGTATTATATGGAAACTTAATTTTATTTAAACTATCATAAAGATTTTTATAATCTTATCTATCATGATTATCAAACATATAAATAAGAACACAGGGTGTGTGTGTGTGTGTGTGAATGGATAAAATAATTTTACAACCTGTTTTTTTAAAGAAAAGTAATTTTGTCTTAGAGACACATAATGAACCATGTTTTACCCTTAGTGATTAATAAATCCCTATAGGAATTAATAAAAGACAAGTATTTAATTATTGATTGTTTTTTTTTGTTCATTTAAAAGTGAACTATTTTCTTTTTCTCACAAAAACTGAATAGTTTCATTTTGATTGTTTCTATCGAAAATTTATTACAATACAGTAAAGGAAAAGAGAAATAAACGAGCATAAAATTTGAATAATTGAATTCTAACTATATTCATTGTTATTTCTATGAATGGAATAAAAGACTGGATGTATGATCTTACTATAGACATAATCATCATCAGTCAACTTTCCCTCTTGAAATGCTCTCATATGGCCACACGTATTCAACCAATGTCAGGAAAGTCCTACTCACTGCCTTCTCATGGCTCAGGTGTTGTTTACTAGATTGAGAGAACAAAAAGTAAATATTCGGTGCTTTAACCAGGTTGGTGGACACAGACAGTTCATCTAGGCGAGTTGGAAAAACCTGATTACAAATCAATAGTAAACATGGACTCCAGTATCCTGAAGGAACAAAAGACAAATGAATCAATCATTGGCGACCGGCTATCATGGGACTGCATCTCTTGATGTTGCTCCACTGAAGTGTGGATTAGATTTTTAGGTAAAAGGCTGCAGGTGTGACCTCCTAAGAAAACCACCTTTTCGGTTTGGGCACCCGAGCCGTATCCCAGCCCTCACATAAATTGATCTATTTGATGCCTCCTTGTACCAATGTTTATATGTTTAAATAAATAAATAAATAAATTCGCCTTATTTGCATAAATAAATATACATAATAATTAACTTACTGTATTCCCTTGTAATTTTCGACTTAAATTCCTCTTTACCAATACAATACCATCCACAAGCAAACCAATGAGCAACAAGAAAGAACATACACATTAGTAAACCCAATATTACTGTACTATATTGAGAATATCGTTCAATTTTTTGAAATAATCTTGCCAAACGAAGTAAACGTGCCAATTTCAATAAATGAATCCAATTACCCTAATGAAAGGAAAAGTTAAATTAGTTAATACATATTAAAGTTAAACATGATCTAAAATTATCAGGTTATAAATGAACTTGACTGATCAATCTCTGGTAAGTAAATAACATTTAATGACATCATTAAGGTAAAAATCACTGACATTTGGTAGAAATGTCCTCCTGGAATCCCACTGGGGTTACTGCCGGTCTCAAGCCCGGATAAAGGAGAAGAGAGTTGGACATGGGGTTAGCGACACCATCCCGTAGAACAATAACTCGCTAAAAAAACTATAACTAGAAAAAATAACTCAAACCATTTAAACTCTGCCCTGGTAGTTAGAAAGTCTTCATTTAGAAGAGTTATGACGAAAGTCGAGTTCGTTCGAAAGTCACGAGGCTGATGCCCCTTCTGACAAACAGAGTAATCAATAATTGGGGAACATGGAACGCTTGTACAATGTAGAAGACCGGGAGAGTCTTCCAAATTGCTGTCTCTGTCCATTTTATTCTAATTCACTTATAATATCTGTTATATGTAATAGGTACTTATTCAATTTATATCACTAGATTAAATACTGTAAAATTGAAAAAAAAATACAACACAGTAGTTAGGAGTAATTTCATTTTCTTTTTTTGTATAGCTTGTTAATGCCAGAACTCTATGCTACTTTGTCCAGTACATAATTAGAACAATGGAATTTGGGAATGCCGAACTTCTATAGAGTTTTATAGTTAGATATAAGTATTATTTTACCATATTTTGATTTTTGTTCTCAGTTAGAGTGTACCTTTGGTGAACTATTTTCTAAAGTATTTTTTGTGTGGATATTTTGCTTATGATTTCCTACTGTATCCAGATTACCTTTTGATGGAGTTTTGTTCTCTGAGCTGGATGGTTTGTTCGTGGAGCTTTCATCGTTCTTCTGAACGACATCATCAGCACATACTTCAGATAGAAGTCGTTCAGAAGAACAATGAAAGCTCCAAGACCAAACCATCCAGCTCAGAGAACAAAACTCCATCAGAAGCATCCACCTGAGCTACAAATCTTTGCCACCATCTCAGTAATGATTACCATTACATTGGCTGATTATTGAGTAATGCAGTGTTTATTTAGTTCTTAGAGTTGATCGAATTCAGTCGATTAAGTTACAATGTGACCATTCGTTTAAGTGAGAAAATATCGCGTTCACTGTGTTGAGATATTAGGTGGTTAGAGGTAGTTAAGAAGAAATATAAGACCTGGATATCATGCTAGTCAATACTTATCAATATGTCATACTTGTAATCCTGTGGGTTATGATGTTTTATGTGGGGTTCAAACCAGTGTTGTCTAACTTTATAATTAGGGAATAATACTGTTAATGCCATTTTATATATTTTATAAAATGTTATGTCCCGATCAGAATAATGAATGGTAACTTTTGGGATCCGTTTATGGATCAATACTTTACGTATGTTTTTATCGTATAATTGTTAAATGACTAAACTATTCATATTCGTGTTTCTCTCGTTATTAGTTTCATTTTGACCTATGAACCGTTATTACATGATTTACCATTCTTCAATTATGCCTTGTCTATCAATTACTACCTCCCACATTCACAGCCACATTTGACCAAATCTTATACAAATGTTGTTTCCCATTTGGTTGGTACGATGTGGTCTGTTTGATTGGTATATAAACGCAGTATGTTTGAAATACATGATTCATATTGCAGAGGTTGAGATTGGTGTTCTGGATTTAACAGGCGTGGGTAGGCGGTAAGCAGGACTGATAAGGACTGTATACTGCTCGTACGTGTTTTATGTATTATTGGTCCGATCGATAATTCACTATTCTCTAGTTGGCGGTATCATCATATTATACATTACCAGGGCACACAGGCGACAAGTTATAACATTAACACATTATATTTTGCGAAGAATAATTATGATTACGTAATTCACTAGCTAAATACAGGTTTATTTACTCTTCGTTGAGAGACACATTCGTATGCAGATTCTATAGATTGTACTAAGTGATCTAAACAAAAGTATATTGAATGAAAAATTTAGTATCATAATTCAGATATTAAAACCATGAACCGATTGATGTTAACAATCTCCACAACTACTAATCAGATATTAGAAGGTTCGATTCTCAAATTACACTGAAATTATGATAACTATCGAATCAACTGAGATAGGTATATGAATTCACATATAAACTGGTTTTCTGTTTCAACTCAACTGCTTAATAATGCATCAGTACATTAGAATAACCTTATTCTCATTTATTGCTGAATTATCTAATCAATCCTTAATAATTATGTTTTATAAATAATTCTGAATTTGTATTCATGTTAACTAACTCATCACCATTTCTCATCAACTGTAAATGAATTCCTATGAATGTAGAACCATGATTATAGATGTGAATGCACTGATCGGAAAAGTAAGAGCAGCATTTTTTAAAATGAAGAACATCTGGAACTCAAAACATCTGTCAACCAACAACAAAGTAAGAACTCTAAATACAAATGTCAACACAGTTCTTGGAGAACGACGAAAGCCATCATTCAGAAGATACAAGTGTTTACCAACAGTTGTCTACGCAAAACACTTCGGATCCGTTGACCAGACAATATCAATAACAACTTACTGTAGGAGAGAATTAACAAGATTCGAGTGGAGGAAGAAATGAGGAAGAAGTGTTGGAAAGGTTATAGGACGCATATTGAGGATGAATTAATAATTTTAAAGGTAGATTCATCCATTGAAACCAGTTAAAATGTCTTTGATTATTATTGAGAGAAAATAATAATAGACTAATTATTATACACTAATCCATTAAACATCTATTGTTTTTGATGGAGTTTTGTTCTCTGAGCTGGATGGTTTGGTCGTGGAGCTTTCATCCTGATTGGAAAATCATGCATATACATAAGAACAAGAATCAACACAATGGGAGACACAACCAAAACAAAGAAGTGAACAATGATAAATTTAAGGTCAACAAGAACCAATCAACATCGAGGTGCACAGAACAAGCTGTGAAACACATAAGGAGAAAATCGAACACTTCACTTCTATCTGAAGTTTGTGCTGATGATGTCGTTCAGAAGAACGATGAAAGCTCCACGACCAAACCATCCAGCTCAGAGAACAAAACTCCATCAAAATCATCCACCTGAGCTACAAATCTTCTCCACCATCTATTGTTTTTACTCATTAGTCATTGGTTTAGGGATAAATACTTAAAGTTTCATTGATCATACATAACTGATAAAGTACAGATACAGTATAAAGTTACCAAGTCATTGACCATAACTATTGTGAATATGGTAGACTTTTAACGTTCCATAGTTAAATAAATTATTTATTTATTTTTATTTTAACACACAGATATTTGTACAAGGAGGCACCAAATACATATGCGTAACACAAATCTCATTTGATTTCTGTGAGGGCTGTGATGTTGCTCGGGTGCCCAAACAGAAGCAGGTGGTTTTCTTAGGGGGCCACACACTGAGCCTTCGACCTGAAAGTCTGATCCACAAGGCAGTGGAGCTACGTCAAGAGATACAGTCCCATGATAGCCGGTTACCAACGATTAGTTCATACTCCATTTGTCCTTTCACGATACTGGAGTCCGTGTTCACCAACTCCTTTAAGTGGACTCTAGATTTCCACCAACCCGGTTAAAGCGCCAGACATTCGCTTTTTATCCTCTCAATTTCTGAAACAGCACCCGTGTTGTGAGAAGGCAGTGAGTAGGACTTTCCTGGCAGAGGCTATATACGCGTGACCATGTGAGAACATTTCTAGAGGAAGTGCGGACTCTCCCTACTCTTGGCCGTACCAGATCATTTGGAGGCAGTTAAATAAACTGGTGCTTTTTGTTTATTTATTTGTTTATTATGCTTTATTTTATGCCTAGATATTAATCTGATTAATACAGAACCCTTTTATATTTAACTAATCCATCGTAAATAAAAAAAGGTATATGACAATTGTTGTAGTTATCAGTACAAATACAGATACCATAACATATTCATGAATATTATAGATATATTATTAGAAATGATTTATTTAGATGAACATTATTGTTGAATGCCTATCTTGATATACCAGTATCGGATAACTATTTATCCTAAATTTATCTTATGTCTAAATATAATATTGTTTCGACTAAATAGGATGTGCATTTCGTCTTATTTAGGCATCGTCAGATAAATGAACCTACATCTCAGAGTAGATGTTCACTCTTAAACTCGAACCCAGTACTGTTAGCTTTAAATGCCATCGTGTTATCCACTTATCCACTGAGTTCTGATAGTCACTTGCTTGTATAATGGGATGAAGTTTAAATTCCCTTAGTATTGTTTACTTAAATCTTTCTATTGATGTTTAGGACTGTAATTGATCAGTCTTCTATTGACATATGTTCATCCTGTCATTTGTTATTCATTGAACATCATCCAATTCAATCAATCATGAAGTACAAACAATTTAGAACTATTGAAAACTGAATGTTTCACTCTCTTATTTCATTGAAACAACAATTGATTCATTTAATGCTAATCAATTTCATCATTTTTTTAGTTTGAAACGAAAAAAATAAAACATTTCAAGACGAACTGTCAATCTGTCGACAGTATTCTATTCACAATACTATAAAGATGGATAGTGATTTGTACATAAAACTAAACCAGGGTTATGAAATAATTCGAACTAGTTATGAAAAATGGATTATAGACACACACTATTATTCCTAACTGATGAACACGTCCAAATGAACTGGTACACCCGAGGGTTAGAAGAGTCAGCTAGCCCTCTCGAAATGCACTCATATGGCCATGTGCAAGCAACCTCTATCATGGAAGTCCTACTCAATGCCTTCGCGTGGTCAGGGAGTTGTTTAAAGAAATCGAAAGAACGAAAAGCGCTTTAACCGGGTTGGTGAACACAGGAGAGTCCACCTAAAGGAGTTGGAAAACCCTGATTACAAACAGATGGTGCACATGAACTCTAAT